TCTGAACACAGAAAAGTAGAGCAGTTGCTTTCAGTGATCAGCCCAGGAACAGCACAGGCTGCAGGATCTCACCATCTTGCTGGAATTTCTTTCTAACCTCCAGACCACTCAATTTTCTCTAGTTTGTAGCCATTCTAGGACATAATGACCCTCAGGAACACTGGTGTGCTGTGCTCCTCTAGCACTAGTACAACACATCCTTCCTTTCCCAGCATCACCACATGGAACCCAAGTGTGGTGTCTACATGAAGGCCATGGAAGGGCAGTGCTGGGGCACCTCATCAGCTCCATGGACACGAAGTGCTCTTCACAACTACTCACCAGGCTGGGGTCCTGCACCACAGACCCCACCATCTCCACAGAAACTGTTTCCACACATAAAACTGGGAGGAATTCATGTCAAAATAGGTAATTTGGGTACCTTGATTTGGGCAGTGCAGTCTGCTTGGGTTTATCTCTTCCTGGTATCTTAGAGAAGAACTGATATGCAACTGCTCCTCTGCTTTCCCTCATTCCTCCATTTGTAAGTTCAGCAAATCCTTGAGTGCATCCTTCACCTATTTTTACAAAAGGAAGTGAGTACTTGCTCAGGAGGACTTCAACACACACCTTGGTGCCCACTGGATCAGGACCCCACTCCCATTTCCATGAGTTTCCAGGTACCACGTTTCCATTAAGAAGCCCAAGTTCTGAGGAGGGATTTCAATGTTATTTATTGTCTGTGTTACAGTTGCAACTGGGAGCACGGGGAGCAACTCCTTCCAATTTTAGAGTCAAATGTATCCAGGCCTGCACAGAGCCCAGGGATGCAGACATTCCCAAACCCAGGCTTTTCATAGCAAGCAGAAGCACCCATCCCACCCCCTCAAAAGCCTCCTGTAACCTCCAAAGCCTCCTCAGAGCCCTGTGCTCTTCAGGACGAGCACATCTCCAAGCTGAAGATGCTCATCATGGTTCAGCCCTCGCTAGAGCTGATGTGGAGGCAGCTCTTTGATTTGGCTCATCCTAGTTGGAAGTTTGGCACAATTTTTGCAAGATCAGTCCAGGGAAAGATGTGTCTATCCCCAGGACACTCAAGGAGTTTGTTCCAATGTCAATGGGAAGAGTGCTCACCCTCTGCAAGGGAAGCAATGGTGATGAAGAACTCTCCTCTTCAATATTAGAGCATGAAATGACCTTCAAAAGTCCTGTTAAATTCTACATCTCAGCCTGGAGAGTCCTTGTTGAAGCAGCAACAAGATCCTTGTGAGCTTCTCAACTGTAGAAGGTTCCCACCAGCACGTTGGCAGCAGGAGAGTTGGTTCCATTAGCAGTTATCCTTAACCAGCAATTCCACCTTCTCCCACCCATTTCTGCTTCCTCCCTCTCCCAGGAAGTCAACACAGTTGCAGGGACCTGGGTGGCTCGACACCAGTTCCTTGGGGCATGAAACACACCATTCTGGAAGCTGCCTGCTCAGATTTAGCTGCTCAACACACACTGGTCCTGCAGTGGGGACTTCTTTGTTTATTTAATAGCAGGAGCCCAGCACTACGTAATGGAACTGAGCCGCACACCAGGGACAACTTAATCCAGCAACAATGGCATGAAACAGTTCTATTTTTTATTCTTTTGCTACTACCACTGCACGAGGCTGCTTCTCTTAACTCTTACTTCATTTATTATTGGCTGCCACAAATTATCATTTATAAAACAGGGGTGCAAAGGACAGGAGGGGGGAAGGTTGGCGGTGACTGGCGAAACGTGCCCCGTGCAAAGGGAACAGCTGCTGAACAGAAACACAAACCAGCCTACGTGCTGCAACCCTGGAGGATCCAGCTCTGCAAACTGAATTTAGAAAAACTGGCTTGGTCAGTGGGCTGAGAGGGAAGATGGTGAGAAACCCACACGACGTCTGCTCCCCTTCCACCGCGCATCATGTTCGCCAAGGGACGCGTTCAAGGCAAATTCAAGTGCCTTCAAAGAAAGCATCTGTGATCCAAGATGACACTTCTGCTCACCATCCTTCCCTCCACACTGCTGCCACTTTTAGCAACATGCACTCACAGTTGGCCTGTGCTGATGTAGAAGATAGCAGTAGCAAGAAAACCAGCATTTGCTGAGCACATCTACACCAGCTCCAACCACTCCTGAGAAGGTCCAGGTATGATTTTCCTGTATAAATCCAACAAAGCTGCTGAGCTAAACTGATGCTGGAAGTCCTGAGTCAGCTTCTACAGCAGGACAGGAAAAACATCTCAAGAAAAAGGTTCCAGTTTTCACCTGCATCAGAAACAAGGCTCAAATGTTCTTTGGTTATGAGATTCTCTGATCTTCAAGAGGTATTTGCTGGCCTAGGAACAGGCTTCACACATCACCTACCTGCCAAATCCAAGCTGGGAGAGAGGGGGGTTGACAGAGCAAAGAGGGGAAATAAATAAATAAAACATACTAGATGGCAGAAAGACACCTGGGAAGGATACCAGGACAGACAGGGTACACTTGCTTCATGCAGTTAAATAACGAGTCTGTTTTGGTGCAAGCAAAAGAACAACCACAGCAAGGGCCTCCACGAAGCCTGTTCCCTGTGCCAAAGGCTCCAGCCCTTGGCTTTGCTGGCTCTGCTCCCCAAGCAGGAGCAAACCCCAGTCCAAGAGAGACCAACACAGTCACTGGTGAAAAACACAGAGACTTTAATTAAAACCAGAAGGTGGGAGGAGGTGAGGGAGTGCTGCTTTGGACATTGAGTGGCTCTGGGTGCTGCTACGTTGTGTGGACCCACCAGGAGAGGAGCAGAGTCCCAAGAACCAGTGATGGACAAAGGAGAGAGGCAGAGGAAGGCAAGCAGCCAGCTGCCATGCAACAGGGGCACATCCCAAGCAGGCTGGTAAGACTCAGTAATTTTGAAGTCCAAAAATCCCTAGCAGGACAGATGTGCAGACTCAGGCAAGCAAGAAACAGCTCTACGTGAGCCTCCTCCCACCTCCTCGGCAGGTCCCAAGCCCAGGAACACTGTCCCCAGGGAGCTGTGACTGCAGCTGCAGGGGAAGGAAGCACATCCCCACCCTTTTTGGGTGCTGTATTTCACCTTCATGGTGTCACTCCCATGCACGGATGTCAATATTTCCACCCATCCTTTTGCACTGAAGCCCCATTTCCATACGATGACCAGGAGGTGGGTTCCCAACCCTTGGGAAGCTTTGGGAAACCATGGGCTTTACCAGCCACATGCTGCAGAGCCACTAAAAGCATGGTGACACTTGCCAGAAGCCACAAAGCAACACGATGGGACACGGGTGGAGATGCCTGGATTCTCTGCTCCAGGCACCAACTGCTAAACTGCTCCACTGGAGAAAGACTCGTCAAGTCCCAGCAAGCACAAAGATCTCCAGCACAGCTCCAGGAGTAGATCTGTTTGGAAAACCAAGCCAAGGCACACTTCCCATTTAGCAGTAATACAAGACTTAACCCCAGTCTTCCATTTTCATTAAAAATGCAAGTTTATAGAGTTGTTTCAGGCAGGTCCAAAGATCCTTGCCCCCCGCCCAGGGTCAAGCCAGGAGCAGCCAGGACAGTAGCAGCACCAGAGAGCTCTGCTTTAGCTCCGTGGACACCTGCCTTTCACTGCCTCTTAATTTAGACTCTTTTCTCACTCTCCCTCCCCTGAGCGCCTGCAAGAGCCTTTTCAAGAGGGAGAGAGTAAGTCTGGCAAAAAAAGAAAATGGTGAAACAAAAAATAAACTCACAGGCAGGCTTTTTTTTTTGTTTTCCTCCCCCCAAAAGTAAAGCAGTGAAAGGGTTCCTGCTGCCCCCAGCAAACAGAGCCCTGTCCCTACCCCATCCCCATGGCCTGGGAACACACCTTGGGAACTCTAAAAAGAAACATCCCTTCTCTAGCTGCTAAGCTGTGGACCACCTTGGTCAAGACCTGTGGACACGACAGTTCACCTCAAACCCAGCACCAGCTGTTTCTGCCCACCCAGTGATGCTGCTGGTGTGATCCAGACCATGTCCACAGTCATTCACCTGCCTTTGAGATACTGCTGCTGGTGGGGCACTGGAAGTGTGGTCCCTCTGCCCAAAGTCCACCACAGCAACACCAGCAGGGAAA